TGAACCAGAGACACTTTTTGGGGGGTGGGGGGCGGGAGGGGAGGGATTGGGGTCAGAAGGGGGCATTTGCAATTGTATGGGGGAATATAAAAATAAAATTTATTATTTAAAAAAAAAAAAACTGTTTGTAGGGTAAGGTAAAAGGTATCAGGCTTTTCTGCCCTGCCGCCATCAGGATAGATGAGGGAACCCTGTGATCCTGAATGCATGCCTGATGGCTGGCACCTGAAGTGGGTACATCTGTGCTAAGACTGTGCTTTTTAAGGGCGGCGTCATGGGGATGCTAGCAGAAGCCGAAAGAGAAGCCAAGAGAGAAGCAGAGAAGCAGCAGCAGAAGCAGAGAACACCAGAGAGCCCAGATAGAGTGAGGATTTGCTGGGGGCTGGGAGGACTACCAGCCTCCCGGCCCCCCAGCACCCCTGCCTGCCATATGCCTGGTGAACCCCAGTAAAAGATCTGCAAAAAACCACTGAGGACTCTGACTCTTCCTTTACCCGGTCTGCATGGGATCAGAAAACCTGCACTGTGGTCCATTCCTGCCCCTACACTGTTCCACCCCCAGGGTCCCAAAACATATCAACCTGCATCAGCACTGGCAAGCTCTGAATCGTGGTCCTCTCCTCCCCGACGATTCTGCTGCCTCAGGGGTCGTTGGCTGGTCCTTTCAGGTGTCGTTGGCTGGTTCTCTCGGGCGTCTCCTTCTCCTCCTCCGGGCGAGGTCTTATCCCGTAGATCCTGGACATTGTCCATCTCCTGGGTCGCCATGATGCCTCCGGCGTTGTCACAGGCAGTCTTTTACTCCTTAGTCCCTCCAGGTCTTCGGAGGGCTCCATACCCATCTGCATGGATCATCTTGCCGACTTACACCAATTGTAAGGGCAGGAATGGGCCACTGAGCAGGTTTTCTGATCCCATGCAGACTGGGTAAAGGAGGAGTCAGAGTCCTCAGTGGTTTTTTGCAGGTCTTTTATTGGGGTTCAGCGGGTACGTGGCAGGCAGGGGTGCTGGGGGGGCTGGGAGGCTGGCAGTCCTCCCAGCCCCCAGCAAATCTTCACTCTATCTGGGCTCTCTGGCATTCTCTGCTTCTGCTGCTTCTTCTCTGCTTCTCTCTCGGCTTCTCTTTCGGCTTCTGCTGCCGCTGGTCTCCCCGTGACGCCGCCCTTAAAAAAGCCCAGTCTCAGCCCAGGTGAATCTCATCTACCTATGCCCACACCCTACTCCAGGTGCCCGCCATCAGGCATTCATTCAGGAACACAGGGTTCCCTCATCTATCCTGATGGCGGGAGGGCAGAAAAGCCTGATTTTTTACCTTACCCTACAGTGGGGTCCACCAGTAAGCTGTTCCGTGTGCCTGTCAGCCTGGTAGAAATCTCGGCTCTGACTGAGTTTTCAGTGTCTCCTCAGTGTCAGCTCCTAACATGCTCACGCGTCTGCTTCTTGGAGGTTCTGCAGCAGCTGCTCTCTGGACTTGGCCAGGTTGGTCTCTACCGACACCTGCATCGGTTGAGATGCGTCCTGTTCCATTTTTTAATGTCCTCCTCACTCTGAATTGTGTCTTTCAGGAAAGTTGTCTCCTGTGTCAGGGGTTGGGCACCACAGAGCATGGGGGCATGTTCTGAAGGGCCTGGGGACTTGCTTCCTCTTGGTGCTTCAGCTCTTGGGTGAGCAGCTGCAGCCTCCACCCCAGGGAGGCTTGTCACTGTCTCCCAGCAGCCTTTCTAGGGCTCCTGATGGTCGCCCTGCTCTCTGCTGCTTTACATGGAATCTTTCAGCCAGGATCTTGGAGAAGTCCCTGCCCACACTGTCCAGGCCTCTTGCCCAGGCCTTGAGAGCTGGCTGAGTGGCAAGGAGGCCTCAAAGTGGCCCCTCAGATCCACAGCACAGGCACTGGCCCCGGAGGCCCCTCTGGCAGGTTGTTGAGATACACCCCAGGATCCAGGGTTTGCACATGAGAACCAGTGAGTAGACCAGGACACTTTTCCTTCTTGGATTGATTTTTTTAATTGGCCCTGGAGTTATAATTATCTTGTTCCCTCACTAGCTTAGTTCCTGTTGTGCTCATTCCTAATCACCCCCAAGACCACTCCAGGGTCAGAATCTCTGTGGACACATCACACACACCAATTATTCTGCCTGCTTCATCCTGGGCAGACCCCTGTCCCCCAGCCTCAGTCCTGCCTCCTGGGGCCTGGGGCCTGCTCACCGGGGCAGGGCTGAAGGCCTGGATCTCTCACCTCACCCTTGGCCTCTCTCCTGTCCCCGCTCGCCTGTGGCTGATTTTCCTGTGTCCTGTTCTCTGTGTCCATCATCTTTGTCTCCCCTTTGCCCACCAGTGTCCTTTGCCTACTAGAGGAGGGACGTGGACAGTCACCCCTGAGACCACAAACAGCTGAAGTGAATGTTTGTGCTCCCAGCGCCTCCCTCACCTGGGCCTGACATGGGGTTTGGCTGGATTTCCCTGAGGACGGGGCAGGCCTGGCTCCAGGGTCTTCTGGCCTCCAGGCCTGAGTTGTCTCTTGAGGGCCCCAAGGTCTGTCCATCTCCAGCCTCTTTCTGAAAGTTCCTGGGGCAGGTCATGGTGTGGGGCTGCTCATCCTCTGTAGGAGGAACCCGGGGAGGACACTCAGTGTGCACATTTTATCTGTGAGTGCTCAGGGATTTTCTTGAACTTTTTTCATCATTTCTACTGTCCATTCATTGACACGTGTGTTATTAATTAGTTGGAATCTCCTGGTCGATAGACAGTTTTTCTTGTAGGTCTTCTCTCTACTTGTCATTTCTTTTCCATTTACATTATTTAGTGGAAGTGAGATTTTAATATTCCAATTCATCTACTGAATTATTCATTTTTGTGATTAAATCTCTAAATTTCAAGAACTCTGAGCACATGCAATTTTTGTAAGTTTTTTTTCTTTTTCTTTTTTGTTTAGTACTAGAAAACAATGAAATTTCCCTATATATGCAAGGGAATCTACATCTAAATGAGTGTCTGGAATCTGTGCGGGGTGAGGGGGTGATGGGGAACAAGGGTGTGTCTCCTGAGCTAAGGTGTAAGATAGGGGTCTGGGACCTCCAGGAGAGAGGAGGGGATCACATGGCAAGGAAAGGGTGGCTCATAAGATGAAGACCAGATTTTCTATAATTATGTTTGCCCTGACTTATAGGTAGGTTTCTCGGGTACAAAGCTTGTTTTTGGTAATACCCTAATTTTGGGTTAAACCAGCAAATTTCATACTAGGTAGTTATAGAAGTGGTAGCTGTTTCCTAAGATGAACCCCTGATGAAGCTCAGATGGAAATAATTCACATGCCAAAGTGGTCTGTCTTGGGGACACCTTTCTGAACATCTGGGGGAGGCCTGTCCTTCAGTGCTTAATAAATGAGGGGAAGAGCAGATGAGGGTGAGGATGGGGCCAGGACCAGGAGTCAGATTAGGCTACAGGCCTCCTCAATATGGTTGGTCCTGGGGCAGGATGTGGAGGGGGGCTGAGGGCAGAGGGGACAGGCTGTTCTGTGGGGCCAGAGCACGATGTGTCAGGGGTGGAAGTGACAGATGTAGGAAGAAAAAATCTGATTTCCTTATGCTTAATTTTTTTTTAATATTTATTTTTTTTTACATCTTTTGATACTATAGACAATAGTGGTTGGGACCTGTTAGTGCTCCTGCTTCTCTGCTTTCACAACAAACACGCTCCTTCCTCCTAGCACGGGGCTCAGGTAAGGTTTACAAATGTCTTTATCACCTTTACTCAGTGTCCATCTCTCCTGACAGTGCAAGCTCCACGTCTCTAGGGTCCTCTCTCTGCTCCCCATTGTATCTGCAGGGGAGGCAACTTGGGGAGGCAGGAGCCAGCCAGGGAGAGGGATGCTGGGAAGCGAAGGGGAGGCAAAGGCAGAGAACACTTGGGAGATGCTCCCTGGTTTCCTGAGAAGAGCATTTCTCAAAGTGTGGTCTGTGGAGCCCTTGAAGTCACCCAGAACCTTTCATGGGATCCATGATGTACAATTATTTCCAAAACATCACTTAGACACCATTTGCCTTTCACTATTTTAGCATTAGCTGAGGGAAAAATTAGTAAGAGTGGAGCTTATAGTACCACTGCAGAAGCAGTAATTCTTTACCAGCACTTACCTGCAGAGACAAACATTAAAGCCAGTTTCACTTGAAAAGGTTTGGAAAAAGTATTAAATGTTGCCTTCATTATTGCATCATCCTCAACTCCACATTTTAAAATATCTGGTGTGCTGATCTGGAAGGACACACAGAGCACTTCTGCAGCATCCCCAAGCACTGTGTCCCAAGGAAAATATTTGTATGAGATGAATTAGACTCTTTATTTGTGGGCAATACCATCCTTACCTGAAGGGATGAATGACAAAAACTAAGGTTATTTAAATTTGGTTAATTAGCAGACAATTTCCTCAAAATTAATGTCTATTTCTTGAAGAAAATCAACAGTTACAAATGATAGTAATTTTGCCTGATAAAATAAAAGCTCTAAGAGAAAACCAGAATTATGAATAATTGAGTGCATCACTACTTGACAATTTACAGTATGAATTTTTCTTTTGTGATTTATTTAAAAATAAATCATTTTTTGATTATTTGATTCCAGTGTCATTAACACTGAGTATCTATGTAACTTAAGAAACAATGTATCACCTTAAAAGATCATACATTAGCAATATGCAGGAGAGGCCTATGGAAATGTAACAGAATAGGAAATATTCCATGATATTATTTCAACTTTCACTTTGCAAATAACCTTTTAAAACTACCATCCTGTATAGTTTTAATTCAGTATCACAGTGGAATGTTTGCAATTATCTGAAAATACTACTAGCTTCTTCATTCCTCCAGGCTGCTGCTTCTCCCAGCCCAAATCCACTCCTCCCTAAGGTGGGGAAGGGAATTTGGAGCCTCCCCTTTCTGTGGATGTCACCCTGTCACAGCATCATGTCTCCCTCTCACAGGCTCTGTGGGGTGGTGAAGACTTGATGACCCCACACTCACCCCCATTCTCTCTCCCCATTTCCTGGGGGTGTCCAGGGAAGACAATCAGCATCATCCTGCTCCAGTTGCAAAGTCTCCAAGGACCCTCCTGGACTCCTTCTCCCCAGACCCCTGGATGGGGTGTGATGCCCCTCACCCTCCTGCTGCTGCTCTGGGGGTCCCTGGCCCTGATGGAGACCCGGGCGGGTGAGTGCGTGTCCAGCTGGACACTGTTGCTCCAGGAGGGAGGAGCAAGGAGCCCCCTGCGGGTGCAGGACCCCAGGAAAGGCTCATCTCCTCCCAACCTCTTGTACCCCTTCAGGCCTGTTGTGTTCTGGCCTCTTCTGCCCCTCCCGCCTGCCCTGAGTGCTCCGGTACCCCAGAGTCTGGGCCCTTCTTGGCCCACAGCCCCTTTTCACTCTCACGGCCCCGCCCCTTTATCCCCTTCAGGCCCATCTCCCTGGGCCCTGGGCCCGCGCTGAGAGGAGGGTCAGCCAGGGTCTCCCCTTCCGGCCCCCAGGCTCCCACTCCCTGAGGCTTTTCCACACGGCGATGTCCCGGCCAGGCCTTGGGGAGCCCCACTACATCGCCTTGGGCTACGTGGATGACACACAGTTCGGCCGGTTTGACAGCGACTCTCCCGGCCAGAGTGCGGAGCCGCGGGCGCCCTGGGCGGGGCAGGTGGGGCAGGAGGCCCTGGACGAGGAGACTCTGATCCAAAGGAACAACGCACAGTGGTTCAAAGCGCTCCTGAGGGACCTGCGCGGCCGCTACAACCAGAGCGAGGACGGTGAGCTACGCGGAGCGGTGCCAGGGTCAGGTCACACCCCCATTCCCACCATAAGGCCGGGGTGTCCCGAGTCTCAGGGTCCACTGACCCCTTGAGGCTAGTGGATCTGCCAGGCCCCTCCACCGGGAAGAGCCCGGGGATGTTCCTGCCTGAAATTTCATTTTCAATTTACGTTTATTCAAGGAGGGGAGGGTAGGGGTGCAGGGGGGTGACCTCAGGACTGACAGCAGATGTGGGTGTCAGGGTCTCACACCCTCCAGAGGATGTTTGGCTGTGAAGTGGGGCCAGACCTGAACCTCCTCGGCGGGTATGACCAGTTCGCCTACAACGGCGCGGATTTCATCTCCCTGAGCGAGGACCTGCGCTCCTGGACCCCCGTGGACTCGGGGGCTCAGATCACCCAGCGCCTGTGGGAGGCGGCGGGCAGGGCCGAGCGCGTCAGGCACAGTGTGCAGAGCAGGTGCCTCCCGTGGCTCCTCAAATTCCTGATTTTGGGGAAGGAGGTGCTGCAGCGCACAGGTAAGAGGGGCCACAAGGCCTCGGACCTCCCCTCTCCTGGCGCCCCTCAGGGGAAATGGAATAATGGACAGAACAGCACCTGCTTTCTGGGCAGAGAGGGAGAGTCCCCCTGGGTTTCATGTTCTGTGCTAGACAGAGACTCGCCCAGAAGACACCACTTTACCGGACGGTTAAGAGTCCAGTCTCTCCTGAGGGAGGGAAGGCCATCCTGAAATAACTCTTCCCTGGATCCTTTGACCTGGTAGCAACCCTGGGAACTATGAGTTTCTCTTTCAAGGTCTTGTTTTTTGGTCTGAGAACATTTCTGGATCTGACTCCTGCCTTTCTGTGTCATTTATCTTCCACCCAGGTCAGGAGCAAAAAGTCTGTGTTCTCCTACCCTGGGCTCTCACCTGATTATCACAGATTCCCCAGACTAGGCTGGGTTCTGGGTTTTGTGCTTCCTCCCTCCAAACCAATTGTCATGTCCATTCTGAGGATGGTCAGTGAGGCTGCTTCAGTGTCCAGGAAGGAAAAAACCAGAGTGTGAATGCTTTGACCCTTCTCCTCAGATCCCCCAAAGACAGAGGTGACCCTCCACCTCACCTCTGACCATGAGGTCACCCTGAAGTGCTGGGCCCTGGGCTTCTACCCTGCGGAGATCACCCTGACCTGGCGGGATGGGCAAGACCTGATCCAGGACATAGAGCTGGTGGATACCAGGCCTGGGGGGAATGGAACATTCCAGAAGTGGGCAGCTGTGGTGGTGCCTTCTGGAGAGGAGCAGAGATACACGTGCCATGTGCAGCATCAGGGGCTGCTGGAGCCCCGAGTCCTGAGATGGGGTGAGGAGGGGGATGTGGGCACTGAGCTTCTTCTCAGGGGAATTGGGAGCCCTTCTGGAGTCTTTCAGATGAGGCCTGGGGCTCAGGGTCTCCCCTTCCCTTCCAGTGCCCCCTCCTCAGCCCTCCATCCCCACCGCGGGCATCATTGCTGGCCTGGTTCTCCTTGGAGCTGTGCTCACTGGAGCTGTGGTGGCTGCAGCTGTGATGTGGAGGAAGAAGTGCTCAGGTAGGGAAGGGAGTGGGGGATCATGTCCATTTGGGGCTTTCATATCCCAGGGAGAACTTGCCTACGTGATTAATGGGAAGTACCATCCACATACATATTGCCCAGAGGGCATTTGGTCCAGTCCCCCCTCACCTCCTTTCTTTATGTGGGTAGGTCCCTGGCCTGGAATCCACTCAGGCTGTTGCAGTGGGCCTTCTCGGTGGTAGTGCTGAGACTTAACCCTTAGGACACCAGAGAGGCCCAACACCCTTTTAAAGAGTCAAGTCTTGCAAGAAATTGTTTACTGTTATGTCATTACCATGGATTAAATATTCCCACCATTTCACTGCTTCTGTGGACCTGAGAGGATACAGCAAATTATATGACAACATAGGAGAGTTTCCAAATGGCTGGATTCAACTCATTATTAGTGTATGGTCCACATGCTGGCTTATTTAGGTGCTACATCTTGGTCAATATCTGGACAGTTTCCATCCATGATGGGGATTTTTGTATCTTCAAATCTTAAGGCCATCTATTAAGGGCTCAGCTTACCATACACACCTTTACCTCTTCTTTGACTACAACTGTGGACAATATTTTACACTGTGGGATAGAATTGGAGGCTCATTCAAATATTTCTCCCCTTTGAAGGGAAAGGACCACAGTTATGTGAAGAAGGTGACAGAAGAAAAGCAAAGCAGCCAGCAAGAAATGGTAAAAATGAAAAGTTACTCAATGGAGAGATTACAAAGGCTGAGTAGATTATTGCCCAATTATTAATTTTTTTAAAGATTTTATTTATTTATTTATACAAGTACTGGGTACAGTCAGAAGTGCAGGAGGGTGAGAGAATTCACCAGAGCCAGAGGGGAGAACAAAGAAGGCAGACTGACGAAGTACATTGCTGAGGGGAGCAGCGGGCAGCAGGAGAGGTCTGCGTGCCATGCGGGACTCTTGCCTGGTGGCCAGGAATCGAACCAGCGCTGCAGAGGCTGCGGGCAGCTTCGTAACCCAGCGCTCAACCGCTGTGCCAACCGGGGAGGCCCTTATTAAATATTTTTAATGAGGGAAAATAATCTGCATCCAGCCAGGAGACATAGCAATGGTAGCATTTGAAAGTCCGCATTGAGGGCCCTGCTGAGGGAAGGTCATGCTGAGAGACCAAGAGAAACCAACCTCCTGCGTAAACACCAAGGGTGACCTAAGAGGTGACTGTGTCTTTCCAGCCAGTGAATCTGTAACTTATTTTATCTCAACAATAATTTTTAAAAAGGTGGAAAGAATGTAAATTATTGAGGGGACCAGGTTATGTCCTGCTTTAACTCACCACATTTATTAAGAAAAACTCATTGTGTTTAATAACACCAACGCTCAGCACCATAACAAGGAAACACAAATACAGGATTCAGGTGGTGCCTGGTGTCAGGAGTGAGCTACGTCTTCTGTGCGGGCAATGACCACTTGTAGTACTTTGTTCACGGGGAAGCCTCAGCATGACAGCAGGTCTGATAGAATCTAGTAGTGACTATACAAATGACCCACTTCCTAGCAGGTGAGATACACAGTGTCATCTCCCTGCTACCATGATTCAATCCAGATATGGGATTATTTAACTAAATATTTTGATGATTTTTATTTAAAAGCATTATGTAATAAGTATAGAATTATGTGAATCTAAATATATTTACACAGGGAAACTTGATTGGCTGCTGGATTTTTAACTAAACTGATAAATTGCACTTTTGCTATGTTTCAAAGTTAAAAACCTATACTTTTCTATAAAAGGAAATAATTGCCAAATATTTAGGCTTGTCACTGAAGATTGGTTTGGAATTCATAATCTTTTCTCTGAGTAAGTTGTGGGATTAACAGACCTTTCTAGACAGAGAGTGACATGGTGCAACCTCTTTTTAGAAGCCTGAATCTGGCTGCTGTGCAGAATCAAGAGGTGAAGGTGACCGGAGGGAGGATAAATGTAAGAAACCAGCACAGATTCTAGGATGGAAAATTTGGTAGCTTTATGGGGTGTGATCAGCAAAATAATAGGAAGTCATTGGAGCTGGATATATTTAGAGATGGACTTTACAGTATTTCCTAATGTAACATCTGGGTAGTGAGAAAGAGGGGTCAGGATGCCACCCAACATTTCAGACTGTGAAGTAGAGATGTGCAGGGCCTGTCACTATCCCTGGGTGGATTTCTCACTCATTTGATATAAATATATTACACAGATTTATCAAGTAAAATTTACTAAAGGCATTAATAAATACGTATGAATGTGTATATGTTTGTATATAATAGTATAGTGTGTAACACTGACTCCAGATCCCCGTGGCTTACCCAGCTCTTTCCAGCCCCCTGAGTGGTGAGACATGCAGGCTTTGTTGGTGTGGCTGCCCCAGTGGGCACAGCCAGAGACCAGTGGGAGCAGGAGTCTGAAAGGGCTGGCAGCAGCAGTGGGGGTTTCCTGCCCTGGCACCTGCGTCTGCACGTGGGGGCTGGTGGGCACAGCTCTAGAGGTGGTGGCAGAGGGTGTTTCCTGCCAGTGGGCAGGCAGCCTTCAGAGTGCCCCTCCCCCAGAACAAGCCAGGTCTAAGCAAAGGAGCCCCTAGGGCTTAGGCTTCCCCTCCCCTACCCACCAGAGGAGCTGATTCTGGGCAGCACCAAGGCCACCCTGCAGTGGGTGCCACAGGACAGCTTTGCTGAGGCCATCTCGCTGGGCTACAAATGATAGCTCAGGGACATCAGCTGGGTTTGAATGGACCCCCACCCACCCTGACAGGATCCAGGAGGCCGCTGCTTGAGGACAGGGCCCAGGCCACCCTGACAGCTGTGCCCACTGCAACCAGCAGCGGGAGTGGCAGTGGGTGACATTGGGTGGGCACTTTACCACCAACCACCATCAGTGTCATGGACAAATGTGGCAGTCAATCTGGCAGCAGAGGCTCTCTGTCCCCCCACACCGCCCCAGGGCATGCAGCCCACTAGGGCTACAGCAGCAAAGTCACCTTTGAGATTTGTCATTGCTGCTGACTGTCCGGCACTACTTCCCGGTGCTCTTGCCTCCTTCCCATCCAGCCTGGTGTTCAGACTATGTCTGTGCCTGCTGGGGTGTCTCCTCAGAGGGGGCCCCTCTGGGAGCACCTCCCACTGTCACTGTGAGTTGGATCCTGTCCCAGTACTTGCGGCTGTGCCACTGGCTCCAGGCCCTCCCTGACGGGACTATACCACCATACCTGGGCAGCCTTAATTTGGGACTATTGGACACTGCGGACTGTATCTGGGGTGAACAGCTGCCACTGAGGCCTTAGAAACTATTTCCCTGCTCTCCCGTTTGTTAGAGAAACCTCATTGCTATTCCCTGAGCCTGAGTGGTTGCAACTGAGCACACAGATGAGAACCACAGACAGTGCCCTGTGCTCTACCTTAGCTCTGTCCTTCTGAGAGGGGACCAGGGAGGAAGGGCCCATACCTGGTATAGGAACCTGCACACACACAGGCTGCACGCACACGCTACATGACTCATGATCTGTTTTCTTTGAACTGAAGCTCTTGTTTTAAACTGAGATCCTGCCCTGCTGATGCCCCAAAGAGTGCCGGACACTGACACCCTCTGATGTACCAGGGGCAGGACACCCGGGAGACTGACAGCAAGTTCTGGGGCTGATCATGACGGACACCAGGAGTGTCAGCTGTGACTGGCTGTTCTGATGGACGACTTGCTCAGAACATGAGGGTTTGTCAGCACAGAGAGCACCGGGAGACACACAGGAGAGACATGTGGAGAAGCCGCCTTGCTTCTTGGGTTTGGACTTGAACCAGGAACTTAGAGACGTGGAAGGAGATGCCTGGAAGAGACACCGTGAAGGCCTGAGTTGGATCCACCGCCAGGGAGCTACCCGCATGGGGCAACTATCTACTCTCACCTGCTGCTCCCTTTAGCAGTGTATTTCAGTAGATCTCCCTGTTCTGCTCCCCACTCTGTCTCTGGTGAATCCTCTCACCCCCTGTCCCCCACCACTTCTGGCCTATGCCCCAGCTCTTCTACGCATAAATAAATCTAAAAAAATGTTTTCATAAATCCAATAAAGTTACTTTTCCCCTTTTCTTTAATAGACAATTTTAAATACAGGTATTTTATCAAAGCTTTGTCTGGAATCTTGTGTTTTCAGAAACCAGACTGATCTCAGAGCCTACAAGAAAACAATAACCTGGCACTTCTTTTAGGGGTACAAAAGGTCTGTCATGAGGGTAAGAAGTCCCTTGACAGGCCCAGAAACCCCAGATGTCTTGGGAGCCTCGAGAGGGATTTCCCCAAAGATACAGGTACCGCAGGCCACATCTGATGGTGGGAGCTTGGCTGGTCCTGAGCCCTGACTCCTGGCTTTTAGGAGCTCTCAGTCTGAGGGTTCCTATAAGAAGTTCCAACAAAGCAAAATTAAAAGGTCTGCATAATAATTTCTGTTCTGTTGAATTCATACAAACTGACTGTGGCGGTGTAGTGTCTGGGTGAGGCCAGGGACTGATAAGAGTTCTGGGGGCTCAACGTGCTGTATACTAGGAGCACAACTGTCACGGCCTGTTCTGACGGCTGTTTGCTGTGACTGTCTGTGTGTAACTGATTATAGCAAGGCCAGCTGGAGACGAGATGGTGGAACGGGCCCTTCAGGGTGCGATGCCCCCCATTCTCTCAGATCAATGGCCAGCGATCTGAGAAGTGAAAGTGCTTGTAGATTCCATTCCTGGCTCTGCTTATGGTTTTCTGGTGGTGATGGCAGCAGCGCCCAGGCCTATCCCACCAACAGTTGTAGATATTTTCTGTCTGTGCTGTCAGGTGTGTGGTGTGCACGTGCTTCCTCCCTCTCCGCAGGGCTCTCTGCATTATGGCGCCTTCCTGTGCAGCAGCTGTTTAGCGTGCTGGAGCCCCTACTGCCACATTCCCTGTTCTCCTCACTGCAGGGGACAGGGCCACACAGGTATCTCTGACGTGTGTTATGGCGCATTCTGTCCTTGTTTTCTTCCATGGATTTTATGGCTTCTGGTCTTACATCCCAGCCTATTATCCATTTTGAGTTGATTTTTG